GATCAGAATTATTAAAATATCTATATATGCTTTCAATATATGGAAGAGATGGCACTGAAGCCTATTTAGATAACTGCTGAAATTTTAAAAATTTAAAAAGATGACTCTCATCATTTTAGCTTGTAGTTTCTTCTTGTATGACTTCTCTGTTTCTACTCACTTGTGTTGACAAGCTTGCATCTTTAATCCCTTATGTAAGATCATTACTGTGTCTTGAAATACTCTTCTCGTTCTTGCCCATTCTAAAATTTGTACTCTTCAGGGTTCAGTTTAGGCCTATCTTTGTTCTTTTTCAGAATCAAACCCCTAGGTTTGCTTTTCAAACTTATTGCCTAAAATTCATTTGCCATTAATTGCCTTTTCTGTTATTTTGTCTTTCCTATTATATCTTATATATAATTATGATATCTGTATTTTAAAATTACTAGAAATCAATGCTCCTGCATTCTGATTCAATCAATTTAATTGATAAATTGGTTCTACAGATGGTTTATATAATATATATCTTGGAAGAAAGAAATAACAATATAATGTCTGCATGAACTAAATATAGGATCAATTGTTGAAGCAAGATTTATTTTTCTGCTCTAGTTGAGACAGTAACTGTCTCAAATTTCTCCCAATTCTCTAATCAAACATAGAATTAAACAATAGCCTGCTTCAGGTTTCTTACTGGAATATCTTGCAAAACTATGAAGGAAAAGGTATCTGATTTGTCACCTAAAAGGAAAAGTAGGAGTGATCATGAGCCTACATTATTCCTTGAGTAAAACATATTTTTTATTAAATCTCTTTTCACTATTGCTTATCTTATTTTTTAGGCAAGTGAACATTGATGGATTCCAAGATGGATTTTAGAATGGGACCCTGGGATTTCTTTGCAGACAACAGAGATGAATGAGATGACTTATTATCCTCTTGCAGGCCCTGGTGCGATTAATTCATTGGGCCTGTGTTGTAAATATTTACTGTGATGCAGACATGACTTTGTTCATTTTTGTAATTATAGTATCACAGCATTCTTTCTGTGTGTCTAAATAAAAATATTTTCTTTGATTCACATTGAGATTTGAAGATTCTTATGAAATGCATATTCTATTTTATGTAGTAATATATTAGAATTTTAACATTGTCATTAATCAAACTGTGATCATATTTATTCTTATGGAAGATCTATAAAATAATACATGATAACATTTTTCTATTAATTTAATAGAAATACTCATTCTAATTTCAATTCAAGTAAAAAGACCACAACATGCTATGCACTTGAGGAAGTTTTTCTTTGTTCTTTTTGGAATAGTGGAACTTTTTTGGGTGGGGATCTCGCTGGTTTCCTAGTGAAGTGACTGACTTGCTTAGACTTATGTGTCTCTAATCTCGACCTGAATGTCGTCAGAGCTTGAGTTCTCATGTGTCCAACATAAATGAGGATGTGGTTGATGCTTGTGCCTGTTCTCTTTGTGCAGCTGTATCTTTTAAGCAGAAGAAAATTAGAGAACTTAAAAAGTTGAGGACTAGATATGAAAATTCTGGGAGGTGTTGAGCAGATTGATGTTTATTCTCTTTTTCTTTATCTGTTTTAAAAATCTCATTTAAAGAGAAAACAAACAAACCAGTAAAAGGGTACAGTAATACAGAATATAAAAAAAAACCAGTAAGAAATCACTAGTTAATAGATTACATATTGTCATCTTAGAAATAGTTGTTCAAGTTACAAAATTAAAGCATACAAAGTGGACATTCAAACAGTGAAACTGCAAACAGGTCTGTTCAATGATCCAACAAAAACTTAGTAATATGGTCATCTATCTTACACACCTAAACACACTTGCAGTTGTATCCTTTAGAGCACTATCTTTTCCTCTCTTAATGTTTAATCGCTAAGTACTATGAGGAATAGGGTTTCTTTTAAGTAATCTTCATGATTAAATAACCAAGGTTTATTAGATAAATAAAAATGGATAAGAGAGGGAATCGAGTTTTGGAGTTCAAATTTTGGGTTCAATAATGTCAAATCTTGGCTGTGAGAAAATCATCTAGATTTCTGTAAAGAGAAGAAAACAAAATATTTTTGTGTCAGGGGTTCCATAATTGTTCTGCATCTAAAGAATCCATCAGAAACTTTGGCATCTTCGATGATCTCAGTTCACATGAATTTTTTCATTTTCCATTTTTTATTGCACATCACTTACTTCGGACTTTCAATAATCATCTTTCTTGGGGAGCTATTTTACTATTTTGATCTTGTGTGCTTTATATTCTCAACCAGCCCACAAATAGATGGAGAATAAGGAAGATTTGTGCATTTCTCTAATATCACACACATCTCTTAGCTTAGAGAAATATAAATTGTTCATTTAATTTTCTGGTTTTGAAGAGAATATTTTTTGAAGTAACATGATATATATATATATATGGCTTGGATATTAGTATGCTCTTAGTTTGAGGTTATAGAAAAGCCTTTTGCTTGAGATTTAAAAAAACTATCATTTTTACTGTTAGTTTCATAGGAATAAAACCAGACACTATCTTTCCATCAACAGTCACCATGCTGAGATAGTTTCCTGTGTAACTGCAGTGTCAAAGAATGAAGGAGCTAGGACTTAATGTATGATCGAGAGGTAGGTTCACTCCTTCATGTTTTACCATAAGCCTGTCACCAATGAAGTTTTCCCTCACATTGTTATGTACAAAATTTGTGTTCTTTGGTCATATATGATATTGAAGGGAGAAACCTGAATGTCCATCAGATGGACAGCTTGCCAAACTCAAAGATCTTTAGCCTCATTCCAAAAATCTGAAATCAGAATTTTTAGGAGAGGATTTTGGTAAATATGCATTTTAAACATATTTACAGTTTTTGAGGACTCCACATGTATTACCATCTATACTACTCATTTATTTAGTATGTGCTGCTTTCATAATTTTAGTTAACTAGAATGATTCATGTTTCCCCAAAGAAGCCTAAAAATATGTCAGAGATCAGATACACTCTTTGAATGTATACTTTGGATCACTGGTGATTGACACCTGGGTAACTATTCTGAAATACAATCTGTTTTATAATATTGCTGTCATTAGTTTTATGCAGCAATACCATTTGCTGCTTTAATGTCTCCCAAAAGCTCATGTTTTACAAACTTTGCCTCCAGCTGGTGCTGCTGTTGAGAGGTGCTGAAAAACTCTAGGAAATGTGGTGTAGTAGGCAGAAGTAGTTCACTGGCAGAAATAGACTTCATCTTGTGTATTTTGGTACAGTGATGAAAACAGTGCAAAGTATAAGTAGGAACTGGTGAGACTATTTGAATGGTTCACATTTTTATTTGACAGACTTAATACCAATCTTTAATTTGAAATGCTTTTAAAGTATTACTGAAAATTTGATTAAAAAGACTTAGTGGAAGGGGCTGGGGATTTAGCTCAGCGGCATAAGCGCTTGCCTCGTCATGTATATATCAATTTTCAATTTTGTTCATCTAATATAGTTTCCTAATATACTATTAAATACTGATAGTTTTGTACGATCTTTGATTCAAGAATTAGGTGATTCAACTAGAAAGCTCTACTTGATAGTGTAGACTTCGGATCCATTACAAGTTTTAGGCAGAATCTGAACATTCAACAAAAAATGGAGAGTCCTCTTTCTTTGGAAGAATGTTATACTTCATGGATGTCTGTGGATCACTAGAGACATCAGTTTTTCCTCTTTCTGGGACTTTTTCATTTTGTTTTAGTTATTTAGTGTCTCCAAACTTTTCCTTTAACCAGTGAAAAAAACCACTTCCAATTTAACCAAAGCACAAAAGGGTGACTCTAATGCATCTCCAGAATCTCACCTCTGGACACACACGTGTCTTCCTAGTAACTATTATGGCATATTTTTTAGTCACCTCTGGCAAAGATATCTCCTATAATAAAAGGAAATTGTTGTGTACTTGAAAATTTGTGCAAAATATCTGTGAATCTTGAATGGTCACTAGTGCAGCTTTCCCAGTTCTGGTGGGTAAGACTGGAAGGAAAGAGGGGAAAACTGCTTCTTAAAAGTCAATTTTCCATAGTTAGGATTTCCTTTAAAAGTCTGTGTTAGCCACCATGGAGGCAGAAACATAACTTGTTTTTTCCCAAAAAGTAGCTTTGATTATATCTTTTCAGCATTGTAATGACTAAGACAAAAATGAATGCACATTTATATTACATGGAGTTGAAAATGACAAGGGAGATAAGCAAAGTCTTCTCTTTCACAAATGCCTAAAACACAGTAACTCATATTTCTTTGCTGAGCTTTGTTCAGTTCTTTGGGACTAAGGTAGAGAATACTGCTGGAGGAGGAATCATACAGCATCCTTGCTAACCTCTCAAACATTGTATTAGTTGATTTGGTGGAAGGGCAAAGTGGTAGAGATCCCTTTTTGTGACATTTCTTGAAATGTGGAATGTAAATTGGAATATAATATCTGTTGATCTTAGGAGGTTGTATGGCTCTCACTGGCAAAAATTTAGAGAAAAATACATTGAAATTGATAATATTCTTCATTTATTATGGTTTTTGCTATATATCTTTTCACTCAAAAATATAGACATCCAAAGATATAGACATATTAAATAAAATATATAGTTTTATTTTACCAGATTAGAATAAAATCCATAACTTATGACATAGCCTGATATGTCCAATATAACATATGCAATTCTAGAGAATGAATTAATGTGAGTTGCTCTGATATCACAGTATATGACCCAACTGAAGAATTGCAGATAAAACTGATTGATTTTAGCAGTAGTAAAATACTCATATGTTTGTGGAATCAGTTTTAGTTAAAGGGGATTTTTTTTTTTGTTCTTTGCTGTCACCTTCTTTCACAGGCACTTTATTAAGTGTGTTTAGTGTTCCTCAACTTCTATTTTGGTTTCCTGCCAGGGCAAAAAGCATAAACCAACTAAGCCTTGGAGTGGACATGGCTCCCAGAGGTCACCTTCTTTTCTGTGTTTCAGGCTGACTCCAAGCAGAAGAAGGCATTGCGAACAATAGGGTACTGTAAAGGCAAAAGAGTGGTGGTATTCAATCCGGGTGAACAGAGTACACTCTGAGATGGATCCTGCCAGACAGAAGTCATGAGTGGTATTCAGCCTGCCAGGTGGAAACAAGGTACCTATCATATTTAAATGGAAAAATATTGCTTGACCTCTTAATTTAATAATTAAATTCTAACAAATAAAACAAGGAAACCTGTGTTTTGAGGATTAGTTGTGCTACACAATCCAAGGACAAGCATAAATCTCCCCTAAATGGATTTACCAAAGAGCTCATTGATTTGAAAATGCCTCAGTATTGAGCAAAGGAAACTTGAGACTTGGTTTGATGCCATTCCAAGGAAACAGGTCGGTGGTCATTTTCATGGTAAAGAATGGGACTTTCAGTGGCTAAGAGTGGGTTCTCTGGATGGGCCATGGTAACACTGGCAGAGAAGGTCACTGCATGTACTCCTTCCTGTATATATGACAGTGTGTGAGTGAAACACGTTGATTTGACTTAATTTTGATTAGTGGCTACTCCAAGTTTTAGAACATTCTCTTCTGTTGATCATTTGAAACTCTCCTCAGTACCTGTCTCTGTCAGGCAAAATAATGTCATCGTTCAAAGCATACCATCTCTAGCACTTCAATCTGAAAATTAGCCAGAACAGCAAATAAGCTAAAAAAAACCACCCAGTTCATGTGCCCTGAATAAACAACGCCTAAGTGTAGTGACTTTGGGGCCCAGATCAGGTAAGAATATTAGGGGGTAGGTCATTTGCAAACTGCAGAGGGAGAAAACTAGGCCTCACCAGGAAGCAATTCCTACCTGGGAACCATATTATTTTCATTGTTTTGTTTGCTTGTGTTAAATTTCATGGCATGAGCAGCTATTTAAAAGATAGGAAGACATATTATGGCAGCAACTTTGGATTTGTTATTGGCTTGTTTTGAAATCTTTGATTGCATTCATTGTTTTGTTTTTATTATTTCTATGCTATTCTGTTCTGTTTGATTTTTACTATGTCTGAAGGTATCTTTAGTTATTTTGAAGGTATCTTTAGTTATTTTGAAGAAGGTTTTATGGAAACTATTGTTGATTTTGTAAGTTTTTTTAAAATTTTATTTAAAAGGAAAAGAAAAACACAAAACAAAACAAAGTGGTGTAAGGGTACAAGTAATACAGGACTACAAAATAAAAAAACAGAAATCACCAGTTAATAGATTACGTATTATCATCTTAAAGATAGTTGCTCAAATCACAGTATCAAAGCATACAAAGTGGACATTCAAACAGTGAGACTGCAAACAGTTGTGTTCAATGATCCAACCAAAAACATTAATATGGTCAGCTATTTAACACCCCTAAACACACTTGCTGTTGTATCCTTTAGAGCTCTTTTTTTCCCTCTCTCTTTTACAACAAAATTTACACATTTTGGGTTTTATTACTCCTTAGTTCTTATTACTTTTATGGGGGGGAGAGAATAAAGTCAAATATGGCAAAACAAAGCTGTCATTCAAAACCAAGAATAGACATAGCACATGATGTAAAACAGAGTACAAGGGTATCAACAATGGTTATCAACAATATCTCTTGTTTCCTTAAAAAGAATTGTCTATCTCATTAGATATTATAAAGTTGAACAAAACAGTAGAGAACAAGACCAATAAAACTTAAGCATTGTAAACATTACAGGACTTCCAAAGGAGACAATAGTCAAACCAGAATGGGCATCTTAGTGAATCTTTGCCTTCAAAGTAGTTGCCTATACCCTCAAACTTGATACTATCATACAGAATGGAACAGAATCTAATCAGTCAAAACAAGATCATGGGAGTATTGCAGGACTTCAAAACAAGTTAATAGCAAATCAAAAACAGTTACCATTATATATCCCGCTAATTTTTAAAATTTTCCCCTAATTAAAAAACATAAGAAATAACTAAATAATTTTTTAATGAATAAGGGAGAGATTGAGATAAAACAGGACAACAATATAACAATACAGGTCAAAGCATGACTGTTTCAGCAACCTAGTGCTTCACCACCAAATAACCCGACTTACTAGTAGTTACCATAGTGTCTGTCTTTTTCCTTGAAATATTTGAATAAAACTTCATATACTATAGCTTCAAATATTTCCATATCAAGAAGCCCAGAATAAAGCCTTTCCAATTAATAAGTGAAAACTTTATAAGGCTTCAAGGCCACATAATGGGGAATCATGATTACCACATATTTTTATATATTTGAGTCATTTCTTACATTAGGGAAACTATTCGGTATTCACACATGCGAGATTGATTTATTTCACTTATGCGTATGGTCTCAAGCTGAGCCCATTTATTGATAAATATCTCAATGTGATACTTCTTTATAGCTGAATAATACTCCATTGTATAGAAATACCACAACTTTTTTATCCATTCCTCAGTTGATGGACACTTGGGTTGTTTCCAAGATCTGGCGATTACAAATTGTGCTGCTATAAACATAGGTGCACATATATCACCGTGGTATGATGCTTTCAGTTCTTCTGGGAATATGCCTAGAAGTGGAATAGCTGGAATAAATGGGACTTACAATCCCAGCTTTTTGAGAAATCTCCAGACTGACCTCCACAAAGGCTGCACCAGTCTACACTCCCACAAAGAGTGTAGGAGAGTTCCTTTTTCCCCACAGCCTCTCCAGCATTTGTTGTTGTTGGTTTTCTTGATCCTGGCCATTCTTTCAGGAGTGAGATGGAATGTCTGTGTGGTTTTAATTTGCATTTCTCTAATGACCAATGATGATGAACATTTTTTCATGTATTTATTTGCCATTTGCATTTCTTCATCTGAGAAGTGCGTATTCATCTCAGATGCCCATTTTTGGATTGGATCTTTGAATTTTGGAGGTCTGACTTTTTTTAATTCTTTATATGTTTTAGACAAGAGTCCCTTGTCTGAGAGAGAGTTCACTAAAATCTTTTCCCAGTTTGTGGGTTTTCTTTTCACTATGCTGGAGATTTCTTTTGACATGCAGAAACTTTTTAATAAGAAGTGGTCCCAGTTATTGATTCTGGGAAGTATTTCCTGTGTGGTTTGAGTCCTGTTCATGAATTCTCTACCTACCCCTATGTCTTCAAGTTTTCTACCCAATTTGTCTTCCAATAGATTTTGTCTTTCTGTTTTAATATTCAGATCTTTGATTCATTTATATTTTAATTTAGTACAGGGTGATAGGCATGGGTCTAGTTTTAGTTTTTGGCATATGGAGAGGCAGTTTTTCCCAACACCATTTATTAAGGAGACTGTCATTCTTCCAGTGAACCTGTTTGGCTCCTTTATCAAAGATAAGGTGGTTGAGTGTGTTTGTAGTTGTGGTTGTTTCTTCTAATCTATTCCACTGATCTTTTGCTCTGTTTTGATTCCAATCCCAGGTTGATTTTACTACGGTTGCTTTGTAGTATAACTTCAAGTCAGGGATTGTGTTGCCTCCTGCCTTGTCTTTGTTGCTTAGAACTGTCTTTGCTATTCTAGGTCTCTTCTCGCTCCAGATGCATTTTAGGAGTGATTTCTCTAGATCAATGAGGTATGTTGATGATATTTTTATTGGGATTGCATTGAATCTGTATAACAGTTTTGGGAGAATGGCCATTTTCACAATGTTTGTTCTTCTTATCCATGAGCAAGGGATGTCTTTCTATTTTCTGGATCATCTTCAATTTCTTTTTTCAGTGTATTACAATTTTCCCTGTATAGTTCTTTCACTGCTTTCATAAGAGTAGGTCCTAAATATTTCATTTTTTTGGTTGCTAGTGTGAAGGGTTTGGCTTATCTTATTTCTCTCTGTGTGACTTTGTTGTTAGTGTATAAGAATGCTATTTATTTTGAGTATTGATTTTGTATTCAGCTACATTACTGATTTTATTTATTATATCTAAGAGTCTTTCAATGGAGTTTAGAGAGTCTTCTATGTAGAGTACCATGTCATCTGCAAATAACAATAATGTAACTTCTTCTTTTACGATCTTTACTCCTTTTTTTCTCTCTTGTGTCTAATTCCTATGGCTAGTATTTCGAGTACTACATTAAATAGGATTGAGGATACAGGATATCCTTGTCTTGTGCCTGATTTTAAAGTAAAGGCCTTCAATTTTTAGCCATTAATATGATACTGACTGTTGGTTTGTCATAGATGGCTTTTATTATATTGAGTTTGAGACCATCTATTGCAATTTTCTGTAAAGTTCTTATCGTGAATGAATAGTGGACTTTATCTAAAATTTTTTCTGCATCTATAGAAATGATCATGTGATTCTTACGTTTGGCTTTATTGGTATGGTGGATTACATTTATTGATTTACATATGTTAAACCATCCCTGCATGCCTGGGATGAATCCCACTTGGTCATGGTGTAAAATCTTCTTGATGATTTGCTGCATCCTATTTGCCAATATTTTATTGATGATTTTTGCATCTGTGTTCATTAGGGATATTGGTCTATAGTTCTCTTTTTTAGTTGGGTCTTTCTCAGATTTTGTTAGCAAAGTAATCTTTGCTTCCAGGAATGACTTAGGAAGGACTGCTTCCCTTTCAATTTCATGGAAGAGTTTGAATAATGTCAGCATTAGGACTTCTTTATATTTCTGTAGAATTCTGCAGTGAATCCGTCTGGGTCTGGGCTCTCTTTTGTAGGTAAGTACTTAATTAAATTTTCAATTTAATTAATAGAAATTGGGTTATTCAGCAGTTTTACATCCTCTTGACCTACCTTTGGTACTTCCTAAGTTTCTAGGAATCTGTCTATTTCTTGTGTGTTATCAAACCTTTGAGAGTAGAAGTTTTCAAAATAGCTGTTGACGATCTTCTGTATTTCTATAGAGTCTGAAGTGAGTTCACCTTTTTTCATTTCTTATTGCATAAATTTGAGCTTTTTCACCTTTTTAAAATAAGGTTGACTAGGGGCTTATCAATTTTATTTATTCTTTAAAAAAACCAACTCTTTGATTCATTGACTCTTTGGATTGGATTTTTAGTCTCTATTGCATTGATTTCTGCTCTGATTTTTATAATTTCTTTTCTTCTTTTGGCTTTGGGCTTGACTTGCTCTTCTTTTTCTAGCTGTTGAAGTGTAACATGAGGTTATTTACTTGTGTTCATTCTGTTTTCCTGATGTGGGAACTTAGTGCAATAAATTTTTCTCTGAGGACGGCTTTTATTGTATCCCACAGTTTCCAGTAAGTTGTATCTGTATTTTCATTTTCTTGTAGATATTGTTTAATTTCTTCTTTAATTTCCCCTGTTGACTCACTGATTACTCAAGAGTGTGTTATTCAGTTTCCATGTGTTTGTGGCATTTTTGCAGTATCTTTTATTATTAATTTCTAATTTCATAGCAGTATGATCCGATAACATGCAAAGAATAATTTCAACTCTTTTGTATTTATTTAAATATGTTCTTTGAGATAATATATGGTCTGTTTTAGAGAATGACACTTGTACTGCTGAGAAGAATGTGTATTCTGATGTTGGATGGAATACCCTGTATATGTCTAACAAGTCCATTTGTTCACGTGTGTGATTCTATTTTGTTATTTCTGCACTGATTTTCTGTCTGACTGATTTGTCCCTTCATGCCAATGATGTGTTAAGGCCTCCTGTCACAATTGTGTTACTGATAATTAGATTTTTCATTTCTGTTACTACTTGTTTTATATAACTGGGTGCTCTGGAATTTGGGCATATATATTTAAGATAGTTATCTCTTCCTCTTGAAGTTTTCCCTTAATGAGTATGTAATGATCTTCTTTGTCTCTTCTGATCATTATTGGTTTAAAGTTCACATTGTCTGCAAACATAATGGCTACACCTGCTTTTTTTGGGGTTCCTGTTGTGTGAAGTATTGTTTTCCATCCTTTGATGACTTTCATCTGTGAGTATCCTTCTGGGTTAGATGGGTTTCTTGTAGTCAGCATATGGTTGAATTTTGTTTCTTGATCCATTCTGCCAGTCTGTTTCTTTTAATTGATGCATTGAGACCATTTACATTAATGATTATAACTGTTATATGTTGGTTTATTGTTGACATGTTATTTTTCTGCTGTTGCATCTTTATCTTTCTGTTCTGTTTAAATATCTGCTTTGCTTAGTGGTTTTTTCCTAAGTGTATCTAAACTGTCTTTCAATATTTTTTGCAGGGTTGGCTTGGTGATCATGAAGTTTTTTAGCTGTTCTTTGTCATGGAAGATCTTTTTTCTCTATTGATTTTGAAGGATGGTTTTTCAGGGTACATTAGTCTAGGTTGGAAATCATTTTCCTTTAGGATCTGGAATTCTTCACTCCATGCTCTTCTTGACTTGCTTGTGCTGAGAAGTCTGCTGTGATTCTGATAGGTTTTCCTTTATAAGTGATCTGTCTTTTCTCTCTGACAGCTTTTAATAATCTATTCTTGTGTTGGATTTCTGGGATGGTGATTATTATATGTCTGTGTGTAGTTTTATTTTGTTTATGACTATTTGGAGTTTTATATGCTTCACTGATCCTGATATTGGTTTCCGATCTCATGTTTGGGAAATTTTCAGCTATTCTTCTCTAAATATCCTCTTGACATCCTTTATTTCATCCTCTTCTTTTTCATTAAACCCTGTCAATCTTATGTTGTTATTCTTTGCATCATCTTGCAGTTGTTGAATATTATTTCTTGATTCTTTGTTATTTTTAGAAGATCTTTCCTTTTCCATTCACTAGCTGCAATCTTGTCTTCAAGGTCTAAAATTCTATCTTCACTTTCATTGAGGCAGTTTTACAGCTTTCAGTGGAATCTTTGATTTCCTGTATATCTCTGTGCATCTGCTCTATGTATTCTCTTTGTTCCTAATATTGCTCATCTAGGGATTCTATCTTTTTGTTTTGTTCCTCCAATTTTTTTAATGTGTTTTTTTTAGATATATTCAGCATTTCTTTAATTTCTTTTATCATTTCTTCTTTTACCTGGGATGTTATTTCTAGTTTGAATTCCTTTAAAGCTTCCTGGATTTGCTGGTTTATTTTCGTTGCTATTATGTCTGATATTTGAGGTGTATGGCATATATTTTCTTCTATATATATCGCTCCTAAGGTTTCTTTCGATGGGCTGGAGGTTTGAGATTGTAATTTGGTCTTTCATTTTGTCCTTTTCCTATATTTCTGTGTTTCAAGTGTTTCAAGTGTTATTCTAAGGCTTCCTCAGGGTCTATCGGAAATCCTCTTCTATGCTCTCAGCTCCTGGGACTCTGGCATCCAGTTCCCCCAGGCCGCCTGGCCTCTGGAACTGGTGGCACTTACCTGCTTGCTTAAAACTCCACAGTCCTCCAAGCACACAGGGAGGTGGATGCAGGTGCCCCAGACCCACCTAGCTGTTCCCATGTACCTGGAAGCTGTGAGGGTCTCAAACAAGCTGGGCCCCAGGGAAAGTGGGTGTCCACCTGCTTGCTTAGAACTCCAGTTCAAGAGTTTTAAAGCTGCAAAATGACCTTTGAGAAACATAATTTCTCCCTTGACATGAGTTAAATGCAGGATATTTTGTCTTTGATTTGTTGCTATTTTAAAGTGAGAATTACAGGGACTTTGGATAAGGGTATAGTGCTTCTTTACACGTGGGAGGTCATTGAATAATGTATTTTGGGTAGCAGGAAGTTTATGAAGACCATTTCCAAAGTTTCCCATAATAACCTCAGTCTCCTGGAATTCATGCCTTTAACTGCCTCCTCTCCACCCATGAATATGCATAACCTTTATCACTAACACGATATTGTGGAAATGATAATATATTCACAAGTAATCTAGAAACATAAATAGACTTATTTGAGGGTATATGATTTCCCTTATGTTTTCAGGCATTAATTTTAGAGTAAGCTTATTTATCCCAGTCACCAAAAATGATTTGATTTAGATAGGAGTCATACTTGTGGAAACTTACTAATTCATTCTCTTTTTAAAAGCATGATTATTTCAAAAGCGAGAAATTGTAACAAAATAAACTATTAGAAAGCATCATTCGCTAATTGAGATTTAGATTTGGGTCCATAGAAAAAAGCAATGTGTCATGGGAGGAATAATACTTGCAGGCAGTTTCAGAATTGGATTTCACATATGCCACTTACCTCTGGGTAACCTTACACATGTCTCCTGACTACTCTAAATCCTTGTTTTGTCTTTTGGGATGAGACATTGTTTACTCTCTGACATATTGGGGAATGTGTATGAGACAGATTGAGAAACACTCAAGAACTAGACAACTGGTGAGTATTTTTATTGTTATATTTTAGTGTCAATAGAGGCTTCTTATTCAATGTTCCCTGCATGGCCCTCGCTGTCCCCCAAGGCTGAGGAGAACTCACTGGGACTTCAGAGAGCTCAACCTTGGGTCTTAACTCTTGAGAAAACACCTAGGAAAGAGATAGGCAGGTCAAATGGAAGTTCTATGCTTGATTTTCAAAGAATCATCATACTGTTTTCTATAGCAATTGTGCTAGTTTACATTCCCATCAGTAATGTAGAAGAACTCCATTTCCCCCATAATTCACCGGCATTTGTTGTTTTTGGTGATCTTGATGACAGTTATTCTTACTAAAATAAGATATAATTCAGTGTTGTTTTGATTTGCATTCCTGTAATGGTTAAAGATGAACATTTTTTCATGTACTTTTCAATCATTTATGGTTTTTTTGAGAAGTATCTTGATTTAATTTACTCATTTTTGATTGGGTGATTGGACTTTAAGGGGTCTAATATTTTTGAGTTCTTTATATATTCTAGATATCAGGCCTCAGGCAGAATAGTAGCTGGTCAAATTTTTTCCCATTCTGCAGTTTGCTTCTTTACTCTGTTGATTGTTTCATTTGCTGTGCAGAATCTTTTTCAATTAATATAATCCCCTTTACTGATTCTTTACAGTTATTCTTATGCTACTGGAGTTCGAGAAGTCCTTCCTATGCCTATGTCTTCAAGTACAAAGACTTGTTTTCATGTTTTCTTCTCAGAGATTTATAATTGTAGCCCTTGAATTTATTTTATGTTAGCTTTAATTATATAATGTGAGTCACAGGTCCGACTTAAGTATTTTGAATGTAGATACTAGTTGTACCAAATCTATATACTTGAAGGGAATATTATTTCATCTCCTGAATGTTCTCAGTATCCTTGCCAAAGACCAACTGACAGGCATATTTACTTATGGAATTTTAATTTTTAACTTTATTATTTATTTTAAAAGTTCTATGTGTATGAGGTATAGTGTGATAATTTGATACAAATGTATGATGTCTAATGATCAAATCAGGATGGATTATGAATTTTCATTTCTAGTCCATTAACCTATATATTGATCTGTGCTTATGACACGGTCTTGACTGCTATGATTTTATAGTAAGTTTTTAAATAAAAATGTGCAAGTTTCTAACTTTGTCTTTTTTCTTTTCAATATTATTTTAGATATTCTGAATTCCTATCATGTCCAATGAATTTTAGAATTGTTTTGCCCATTTCTGCAAGACATGTAGGTGAAATTTTGATGAGGACTGCATTCAATCTGTAGATGAATTGGGGGAGTAATGTCATTTTGATAATTTGTTTCCAACTTATGAACATGAAGAATTTTGGGGTTCTCAGTCTGCTTTTTTTCCTGACATCACCCTTGTCTGTGTCATTGGCTTATTATTTTTAAAATCTTATAAAATATTTACTGCTAAATATTTTATTAACATGCAACTTTGAATTTTATTTTTTTCTGGTAAATAATACATTTGGATCTTTCACAATGGTTAGGAAGATTTTGTAGCCAGGTGTAGCAGCATACTCTTATAAACCCAACACTCTGGGAGGTTGAGGCAGGAGTATCTCAAGCTTGAGCCTTTCTTGCGCAAGTTAGAAAGATGCTGTCTCAAAATAATATATAAAAGAGTGGTTGATGTAGCCCACTGTAAAGGCCCTAGATTCAATCCTGCTAACACAAAATGAAAAACAAAAGGGGAGGGGGAATTATTGTATTAGCTTTCTGTTCTTTTTTTTTAAGCTTTCTGTTTTTATCTGAAGTAACTGATACAGGCTTGTTATGAGGGAAACAGATTGATTTGATGCACAGTCTTGGAAGCTCAAGGACATGGAAGCTCAATGGCTCAGTTCTGGATGAGGCGTCATTTTGTGTGTGTGTGTCACATCACAGAGGATGGTATGGAAGAAGTTTGGAATTATGTTTCAACATAAGGAGCCTGAGAGCCGGACGTTTCTAGGCTCAGGCTTTTGTAGCAACTCTGATCTACTAAGGGGTCACATAAGAGCTTCTTTAACCCCTTCCCAAGGGCAGCTACCCTTAACTGACCTAAGAACCTTGACACAATCCCCACTTCTTATGAGTCCCACTTCCTCCAAGTATTGCCACCCTGGAGACCGAACTTTCAGCACATGAAGCTTTGGACATCAATCCATATCCAAACCTTAGCACTTACATTCTGTGGCCATGTGTGCTGACAGCAGTTATTCAACATCGTTCTGGAATGCATTTTTCTGCTTTGTAATGACTTTTCTATCAGTTATTCTTTTATATTAATTTAAAAATATTTCCTTGTCATCTTGATTGACTAGGTATAACCAAATATTATTTTCCAGGCATGAATGTTTTAGTCTATGTATTGAGTAATTTAATTTATGTTGTAACAAACAGGGAAGTGCAGCTATTTCTTTGGAATCCTGATTTTGATTCTTTCGCATTCACATGCAGACATGAAATTGTTTGTTTGAATCTCTAATGTTCACATTAACTCAAGTGGGCAGTGATAATTCTTTTGCCTTCTCAAGATGTGAACTTAAATTGAAAAAATAAATTATATTGATGTATTGAATTACCATATTGTGCCCCATAAATTTATACAAATATGTCAATTAAAAAACAGAGAAACAAAAATAATGAGCTTGATTATTGTTAGGATACACCAATAATATCTCAAAATGATAACGATAACACTAAAACAAACCATAAAATAGGAAAACAAAAGTTGCTATACAGATTCTAATAAATAGGAGGGTGTACCATACATAAATCCCATTGAAGAGGATGTATCATACAAAGCTACTTCATAAGGGTTTCATCATTGTGCTACTGATAGCAAGAAAATATGGACAAGGTGGAAATTAGTGAATCTCCAGAGATTTCTCAAATATTTGCATTACTAACATTTATCTACACAATACTTAATCTACCTATATCTCCTAATTTCATCAGTATCCTCATGTAGCTCTTATATTAATTAAATAAAAATATAATGGAAAATATCCAGTGTAATTTTTGATCAGCTTTGACATTGAATTGATACACAAAGAAGTATGCATTTCAATATGTATCATTTGATTAGCTTGGATAAGAGGAAACATTCATGACACCATGTTATCTTCTTGATAAGAGTTAATCATGTGACCTTAATAGTTATTTAAGGCTCATAAAGAAGCCTACTTAGCTAACTACAGTAATTTTCCCTATGCACCCAGGGAACTAATCCAAACGGAATGAAATTACCATCCCCTTTTTCTTATCAACAATAATATTTGACGGGAAACTATTAAAAATTATCAGAACCTCAAAAATAAGGTTACGACGATGATGGCACAGTCTTTCAATGCTATTTGAGACAAGAAACATTGAGAGATTAGACAAAGGAGAAATAATGGTGGAGCAGTGAGTGCCAGCAATGCAGCTTCTCCAGGTCAAAGTGGCTACAGTCTGGACAACAGCAGTTTGGAGAGAAACTCAAGTGGGTGGACAGCACATGGGAACCAGGAGGGAACGGGCAGAGGAGAAGAAACAGCATTAAGTGCCAGAGGAGAAATAGCTGCTCACAGCTGCTAGCCAAAAACATCCTGGGAAGTGGGCAGTGGCTGTGAAGTAGCAGGTAGCAAGGTAATGAAATCGACAGATTGTCTGCTCAGAGAGAAGGGGAGACCTGACCTGGACAATCTTATGCAGTTGGAGGCAGCAGTGCGAACATGGGTCATTGTTTTCCCTAACACCCTCCCGCCCTGCTCCAGCCTCCTGCTGCATCCATCTGTTGGTGAATTAGAAATGTAGAAATCATGTCCAGTCGGGAGGATTGCCCACACTTGGACAGCTGACTAGGGGAACTCCGCTGAGAGATAAGGGCTGGTATGACCCAGACTCCCACCAGCAGCAGCCAAAAGCCAATTTTAGCCTTAGCTACAAAGGACTGGAAGCTCACAGTAGCAACTTGTTCTCACCACTAACAGACCTCTGTACCCAGATCGGTTCTGGGTGTGGCCTGCTCTTGGTCATCCAGCATGAACAAAGATTCACCTGGCCTGGAGCTTTGCGCCTTAACAAAAAATGGGAGAAAGCCACAAATAGAAAGCAATTGAATTTTTTAAACTGTTCTTTATTTAACTGTATTATTTTCTCAGTTTTTATTCTTATTGACTTTAAAACTTAAAAACAATTTTTCTTTGGTGTTTATTCTTTAAAAAATCAATTAAATTTATTGGTTCCTTTTAAATAAATAATGATCATATTCATCATAGGAAATCTGTACTTGTACACGGTATAACTTGGATTCTTTTTTCCCCATTCCTCAATCCTTCCTTCAAACCCTCTTCCCCTATGTATTTACAAAAACTTTGTTTGCATTTTTCCTTCTTTTTTTTTATCATGTTTTTTTCTTTTCCCTTCGTTGTTTTCAAGGTACCCGTAGAACAATTGTTATAGAATATCAAACAATTATAATAAAAGGAGATGTTCATTAAGGCATATCCTCATTAAATCCACAGATATCTAGCAAAAAACAAAAGAAGAAAAACCTACAGAATTTTAAAGGCCTCTACAGAAAAACAAAATAAAACAAAACAAAAAACATATCTAAGCTTGACCAATTAGAAACACAGTAGACTTCGCAACACAATTCCTAAAGCTCAGAAAAACCTTAAGTATTTCAAGCCCTAAGAGCAAATAACTTTCAACCCCGATTAACTTTCCCAGCAAACTTATTGTTCAAAATGGATGGAGAAAAAAGTATTTCCATGAAAAAGACCAGCTCAGAGGATATAGGAGTGCTAAACCAGTTCTAGAGAAAATACTTGAGAATAGGAACATAGAGTGGGCTACACCTAAACATACAGGTGAAACTAGTGAGGTCAGTAGATAAACAACAAAAAAGTAAAAGTAAGACAAACAATATACCAACAAATAAAGGAGGCAACGATAATGAATAACCAACACAGGTCAGTAAAATCTCTAAATGTTAATGCCTCAACTCTCCAATCCAAAGACACTGATTGGTAGACTGAATCAAAAATTGAACCCATCAATCTGTTGCATTTAAGAAACCAGTCTAACCCAAATGATACTTATAGACTTAAAATCGAAGAGCAGAAAACAATATTTTATGCACCAGATCCTGAAAACAAGCATGAGTAGCAATTCTAATTTTAGATATGGTAAACTTTGAGTTAAAATAGATTGAAAGAGACAAAAAACAAATAAGACATACAATATACTAAAGGAACAATCCAAGAAGAGGTAAGATTGATAAACATACATGCACCTAATACTGGAGCTCTTATCTTCATAGAATAAAAACTTCGAAACTAAAAGATCAAATAAACATTAACACACTCATTCTAGAGGATTTTAAAACCTCACTTTTGCAAAGACATGAGTCAACTAAACAAAAATCTAATAAATAAATTTCAGAGCTGAATTACCCTCTTGAACTATGGATTTAATAGATATATACAAAGCATTCCATCTCCTCTACAACAGAGTAAACATTCTTCTCAGCAGCACATGGTACTTTTGCCAAAATAGATCACATGCTATTACACAAAGCCTGCTTAGGTAAATACAAAATAACTGAAATTACTCTGGACATGCCATTGGAACACTTTGCAATGAAAAGATATATCAATGACAGAAGAAAATTTGGAAAAGACTAAAACACCTGGAAAATTAAAACATATTCCTAAAGAAGAATAACTGTAAGGCTGGGGTTAGAGCTCAGTGGCATAAGTGCCTGCTTGGAAAGTGCAAATCCTGAGTTTGATTTCCAGCATATGTTTAAAAAGAGAATAATTTTGGAATAATTTCAGGAAAATAGATGCACCTGGAAGTGATAATACAGAATGAAATAAATTTGACACATAAATGAACACATAGGGTATCTTTTGAGTGAGGGAAAGTACGAATAAAAAGATTATAAAAGGTGGGTAAAAATAAAGATTATGCCATGAATAGGATTTTAAGAACTCTAATCAGTATAAACATTAGAAGCCATAACCCGTACTTAGCAAATAGTATCAACAGGTATGAAAAAGGTGATTGGGGAGTCAGAGGAAGAAAGGACAGGGGGAACAGGGGGAAGAGAATTAAAAACAAGCAAGCTGTGGTATGTGCATGTAGCCACC